TTGTGGTCTCAACAGATAATAAGAACAGTAAACATTTATACAGAGTTTTACTGCTTTCAAGCCCATTCTCTCACAAGGATCAAAAACCCAGGACCACCTGGCTCATGAGAGACTATACCTTCTACGAATTAAGGAAGTTCTCCTGCACTAGCACTTCTCAAGCTAAAAGGGCATGTGGATCATCTGGAGACCTGGTAGGTCTGGGGGGAACCTGAACATCTGCATGGGCTCCCAGGTGGTGCTGATGCTGCTGATCTGGGGGCCACACCTGGATTAAAAAGAGGTGCAGAACCACAATGCCATTGTCACATCCAAACAATCCGAATTCAACCTTCCCCACTCGTTTGAGGATTTTCTTCAGAAAAATGGTGTCATCGAGAATAATACATTCCTCTTGGTTTTCACCTTTCTTTAGTCTCCTTTCATCTACAACAATCTCATGGATTTTTTTTTTCATGGCACTGACTTTTTTTAAAATATGTTTTTATTGATTTCAGCAAACAATCCGAATTCAACCTTCCCCACTTGTCTGAGGATTTTCTTCAGAAAAATGGTGTCATCGAGAATGATACATTCCTCTTGGTTTTCACCTGTCTTTAGTCTCCTTTCATCTACAATAATCTCATGGATTTTTGTTCTTTCATGGCACTGACTATTTTTCAATACGTTTTTATTGATTTCAGAGAGAGGAAGGAAGAGGGAGAGAACAATAGAAACATCAATAATGTGAGATTCATTGATCAGCTGCCTCCTGCACAGCCCCTACTGGGGATCGAGCCTGAAACCCAGACATGTACCCTGACCAGGAATGGAACTGTGACTTCCTGGTTCATGGGTCAACCACTGAACCACACCAGCTGGGCAGCACTGACATTTTTTAAGAGTCCAGGCTGTCTTGTAGAGTGTGCCACAATCCCGACTTTTCTGGTTTCCTCATGAGTAGAGGCAGTTTAAACATGTTTGGCAAGATTACACAGGTGGTGTCCCCCACATTGCATTGCATCTTGCCATTTTGTCCTATCCTATCTGGTGGTGCTCAGTTTGATCCTTTTGTTAGGGGAGTGCCCACCAGATCACTCCATGTCAAGGAAACGTCTTCCTTTTATAATTAACTAGAGGCCTGTTGCATGAAAAGATTTGTGCAATAGGCCTTCCCTTCCCCTGGCTGCCAGCACCGATTTTCCTCCGGCACCCGGGACCCAGGCCTTCGCCATGGCCGGAGCCGCCTTCAGTCTTCGCTCCACCACTTCGCACCTACGTATGCAAATTAACTGCCATCTTTGTTGACTGTTAATTTCCATATCTCACTGATTAGCCAAGGGGAGGTGTGGCAAAGGTACGGTCAATTACCATGTTTGTCTATTATTAGATAGGATAAGTAATCTGTGGGGCAACACTTTAAAATAGTATGAATATCCTGTTCCTTAACAGCCTTTCTCTCAATAGTTTTAGTATCCATTGATGATCCTTGCTTCTTATATTCAGAACTATTTAAGCATGTAATACTGTGTGTCAAATGTGTGTGTGTGTGTGTGTGTGTGTGTGTATGAGGAAAAAAATTTTAAATTGTAAACACATTCATAGTGACTGAATCCTATATAATAAAAGAGTAATAAGCAAATTGACCCTAAAGGCAGAACAACTGGGAATGACCAGTCACTATGATGCTTACTGACCACCAGGGGGCAGACACTTAACGCAGGAGCTGCCCCCTGGTGGTCAGTGCGCTCCCAAAGTGGGTGCTCCACTCAGCCACAAGCCCTGCTGACAGCTGCAAGTGCAGCAGCGATGGCAGAAGCCTCTCCCTCTTCCTCAGCAGCACTAAGGATGTCTCCCCAAGGGCTCCTGGGCTGCCAGAGGGAGGTCGGACTGCCAGCTTAGGCCTTATCCCCCAGGGACTGGGCCTAAGCCGGCAGGTGGACATCTCTTAAGGGGTCCCGGACTGCAAGAGGGCACAGGCCAGGCTGAGGAAACCCCCACCTCCCCAAGTGCATGAATTTTCATGCACCAGGCCTCTAGTATAATAATAAGTGAAAAGAGGTGGGGGAAGGACTACATTTGTTCTTTGGAACAAATATTTGGGAATTTGTCTATCCTAGGCTCTAACCAACCTCCATTCTTGATGTCAGCTCAGATCTCCTCTGGAAAAGCCGCTGTATACAGGAGGCACCCACCCTCAGACTGTCTCATTCCCAGCTCTGGAGAATATCAAGACAGGTAGACCCAAGCCGGAAATCCAACCCTTGACAGGAGCTTTCTGAACTTGAGTCAACCCGTCAGTTCCCTGGGTCGCATCCACAATCTCCCACCCTGGAGTGTAAAGGGAGATGGCCAGATCTGCTCTGGGTCAAACTAAATCCAGCGTTCGGCCTAGCTCGAAGCAAGTGCGTCTCTGATTTCCGGTTGTGAGCTCTCAGATGAGGAGGCTCAGAGCCATGAGGCCCAGTGGCCTGAATTATTGATGAGTGATTTCATCAGGCACACTGCCTTCTCCCATTCACTAAGGGATGTCCAGCTTATTGACTCCATCTGCCCAGAACTAAGCTGCTCTGGTCCAAACTCCTTCGCCTTCTGTGTAGCTAGAATGTTGGAAAGAGCAAAGTCTTTGGAGTCTTACAGCCCCGAGTCTCTCCTCTCCCACTGCTGACTGTATGACCTGGGCTAGCTAGTTTACCTCTGTGAGGCTTAGTTGAGTCATCTATAAAAGTCATCTATAAAATTGTCCCTTACTAGCATTATTGGGATCAGAGAAGACACCCATAAAGTTAGTACAGTGCCTGGAATGTACTCAGCAAACAACCTACTATTCAAACTTCCATAGTCTGACTCCTTGCCTTTGTCTCCCCTCACCATGAACCCCATGTTCCAGCCCCTCCTCACCACCTGCTAAGCTGGGACCAAGCCGTGTGATTTTACACCATCCGTGCTGTCTATCAATTCATTGCCTCTCAGCTTTAAACCCATTTTTTTTTGCCAGCTCTGTGATAATGGAGCTGAGCCTTGTAAAGATTTCCCCTTTGGGTGCTCTCCCTCCCTCCCTCCCTAGAGCAGGCTTGCTGGGGCCTTTCCCTCTCCCCTTCCCTCCCCCCTCCTCCCTTCCCCCAGGCACATCACCATTAGCTTCCTCTCTCCCAAGCTCCAAGGGCCCCTCCTTTACCTCCATAACTCATTTCCTAAGCCCATTTTGAGAGGGTTAACTTGAAACGCAGGCAGGCAGGGGTCCAGTGGAAAACAAAGGCAGGTGGGACATAAGCTGGGGCAGACACGGCCTTTTGAGCAGCCTAATCACAAACCAACCAAGCAGGAATAACAAAATGTTTCTGGACTCAAAGCGGGAGGCCAGGAAACCGAGGGAGGGCCTGCAACAATAAGGTGTATGAATGCATAGAAACAGAGATAAGTTCAGCACAGGGACAGAGAAAGAACACACAGAAACAGGGAAAGTTCAGTTCCGTTGCTGGGCAAGAACAATGAGGGAATCAATCGGGTGATGACATGGATACAGAAGCAGGCTTGTAGCAAATATATACCCCTGGGCTACAAGGCTTTAACAGACAGCCCATTACTGGGGCCCCCCTCCCCTCGAGGGGAGTCTCAATCGGCTTGTAATAAATTTCCACACTTTTGCTTAAGTCTTCTGGTCCATGGAGCTCATTCTTTGGTGTTGCAAGACACGACCCCCGGAAAATACCTCAGCTCACCATTCGGGTTATCGGTTTCTCCTAGGAATTACTTTTCCCTGTGTAATTTACCAAATAAATGTTCTCTTAGAGTGAAAAAAAAATTCTCCTTTGCCAGCTGGCACGATAAACCTTTTCAGTAGAGTATACTAGAAGGCCCCGGAGGAGAATGGGCCTTCCCCTCCTGTTTCTAGGTGGCTCATTTCCTGGGTTCTGGAAAGCAGGCTTTCTTCTCCACTGCTTGGCTCAACGTTTCGCCAGTGCTAGGTGCCTGCAGGTCGCAGCTTTCTCCAGTTTGTCTGACACACTTTCTCCAGCTCTTAACTAGGGCAGCAGTAACATAGCCAGGAGCCCCAGACAGCATGCGCCTGCAGCCAAGTCCAGGTCACTCGTACCCACACCCGCCCCTCATCCCTGATCACATACACACTGGGAGCCCCACAGGGCTGCTCATCTACACAGACAGTCACCTGAACTTCACCCTGTGGAACTGTCTGGAACCACCCTGGCCCAAGCCACATACAGAAGTGTAGTGGGTTCCCAGAGAGAGAGGCCTCTCTAAATTACTTATCTCCATTAACATGCTATGTAACATATAACTAAACACTAGCATCTTATAGACTTCATATTTTATTTTGTTCATGTTATATATTGTTTTCCCAACACCACCACCACCCATTCCACTAAACTAAAAATGCAAGCTTAATGAGGGCAGGGACAGACATTTGCCCGTATTATTGAAACCGGACAACCAGTGGGTCCGGGCTGCCTGTCACTACTTGAACAAATTAAGCAGAGACAGGGTTGAATCATATAAGAACGTTTGTTCCAATAATGCCAGCGGTATGGGAGAGCAGCGGGTCATCCACAAAAACCTGCTCTGCACCCTTCCATAAGCCAGCTGCTTATCTTGAGAAGAAGGGCAAAGATTACATGGGGAAGTAGGGATTACATGCTTGGGGACGTATGCAATTTGTGGGACTCCATTGTTTGGGCAACAAGGTCGTTATTCCTTCCGTGATATTAGCTAGTTCTTGAATGAGAAGGGACCACATTCCAAGTTGGTTCCCAGGTCCAAGGTTGACTGCCAGGTCTAAAGTTGACTCCCAGGTCGCGGGGCGTACAACTCCCAGTCAGGTTAGAAGGTCCTTTCTTTAATCAGAACAAGACCATCACGGTTAACAGAGCATGATTAATATTTCTTATAAGTATAGCGAATCCCCAGTATTCTATTCATTATTCCTTCTCAGTGTCCTCAGAGCCTATGACAGTGCCTGGCATATAATGGGCTATTGAAATACTTAAGGAGTGTAGGAACAATGGAATATTGGATGAATGCATGCGTGAGTAAATGAATTCTTAGTTATGAGGATTGGGATCTTTGGGACAGTCTGGTCAACTGAGGAAGTCCACTGAGGCTGAGAATAGGATACTCTGGTCTCTCTCAGGAGGGACGCCCACCGCAGGGGTCTCGCGATCCTTTCTTGACCGCCTCTAGCAAGTTGCTTAGCAACCGGCCGCCGGCCCCTCCGCCTCCGCCAGAGGGCGCTCGGGCGCAGAGACGTGCACGCGTGCGCGGCCCTGGCGGCGCGGGAGGCACGTCACTTCCTGTTTCTTTAG